TTTAATTTCTCATCTACATCTTGTCTCATTTATAGAGTCAAAATCATCTTCGAATGAGATAATTGTTGATAATGATATGTCTACTTGTTCAGCTGACTTTCATTCAAATATCGTTTCTCTACATCAAGTTGCAAATAGTTCGATGAAAGTTTCAATTTGGTTCAAAAATCAAGGAAATCTAATCAACTGTAACGATTTCAATGTTTTTAAACAAGAGGAAGACAGGTGTGGACAGAATTCACTTAAACAATGTAAATGGATCAATATGGAATATTATATTCATGGTCCGCTGTTTGTTTGCGATTATCATTGCGATTATGGAAGAATTCACCAAGTACTCATTAGAAAAGGACAACAAATTTTCGCCAATAGCGAATATATTTGCGAAGTATCAACATTTCTACTTGAAACAAATTTTCCAAATAACCGTCAAGATTACTCTTAAATGAAGAGTCAATCTCTTTTGCAATGAATTTGATAAAATGTTTAATTTATCAATTTTCCTTCTCTTGACATATTTTATTTACAAATAGAAAAAAAATTCCTTAATAATAAAAAAGACAAAATTGATTCAAAAAGTTAAGGTCAATGTCAGCAATATATAATATATCATGCTCTTGTCAATCCATGGAGGATAGGTCAGCAACTCTCTTTTGCCAACAACAACAATGATCCTCCTTTCATAGAATGTTCATTAGAAGAGGAGCAAAAAAAAAGAAAAGTCCAAAAGTATTTCTAAATAATACAGTGTCCCAGAAGTGCAAAAAATTGACAAGTTCTACATTTTAAAACCATATAACCATATAACCCTGTTTGCTAATATAAGTCAATGTGATTTTATAAATCAAAAACACAATTGAAAAGGATCTTGTAATGTTTGTTAATTCACTAAAGAATATATCAATTAATTGTGTGAGTAATAATTTATGCTCTATCGTGGAATTCTGCAAGAAAGAAGATATAAAAATACCTTTTAAGCTGAGCAATGAAATATGTGAACATTTCTAAACTGATAATAAATCATATTTATATGGAAATGTTAGTCAATTTTCCTATAATGTTTTACCTTTAACTTCTATCACAATAGACAATAGAGAAGGGATCAGAATTGAAAATTTAAAGTTTTTGAGAGGCCATCCATTAAAAACATTGACTATTTATAATGGTTCATATGACGAGTTACCAATCAGTTCAAAAATTGAAAATTTGAAATTAGTAAGCACAAAACTGACTTCTAGTGTCTTTAGTCAATTGGAGAAAGATTTGCAGGACTGTGTTTGCCTAAAATCAATTACAGTAACACAAGCAGCCGATATATCTTTTTCTTCTTTTAAGAATTTATGTAATGGATTAAAATGGGCAAATTGTTCATTAGAAGAAATTAACTTTTCAAATTGTGAATTATCAGAAGAAAAAGGAAACCTTCTAAGTAATCTATTAACAGAATATACAACTCTAAATGCTATAAACTTAAGTTATAATCAACAATTAAATAATGAAATTGAAAAAATATTTAGTGGATTAAAATCATCGTCTCTGTCTTTGCAACATATTGATTTGTATAATTGTAAGTTATCAGAGAAACACAGCTTTTGGCTTGCAGATTTATTATTTGAATGTAAAGGATTAACTTATTTAGATATTGGTAACAATAATGATATGATGAAAGGATTTGAAAAAATATGTAATGGATTAAAATCATCGTCAAATACATTGAATCTTTTAAATTTTGCTTTTTGTGATTTAATTGAAGAGCAAGCATTTTGGTTAGGTGATTTACTCTTTGAATGCAAACTATTGAGTTGTATATCATTTAATAATAACAGATTTATGAAAAATGGATTTCAGAGTATATGCAAAGGATTAAAATCATCGTCGTCATCCTCTCTACAACAAATTACATTGTTCCAATCAAATTTAACTGAAGAACATGCATTTTGGTTGGGTGATCTCCTATTGGAATGTACAAGCCTTCAAATAATAAATTTAAACTATAACACAAATATGGAAAAAGGATTTCAAAGTATATGCAATGGACTAAAATTTTCGTGTTTCATTTTGAAACATATTAATTTCTCATTTTGTGATTTATCAGAGGAACAAGCATTTTGTTTAGATGATTTATTATCAAAATGCACAGCTTTAAGACATTTAAATCTGTCTTTTAATTGTAATATGAAAAATGGATTCAACAGAATATGTTCTGGATTAAATTCTTCCCATTTCACTTTACGACACATCAGTTTACTTCAGTGTTCTTTGTCAGAAGAGCAAAAGCTTTTGTTAAATAAATTCCCATTTACAATACAACTCTAAAATAGAGAATATTGGACACTCTGCCTTATATTTTTTAATGTCTTATCTTCCCTTTTGTTAAGCTTTGCACTGATTTCATAAAGTTCTAACATAGAATGTTTGAAATATAAATAAACTCTTTCCTGTCTTTTCTTTATATATGCACAAAAAATAATCAATGAAATATATATTTTTCATGGTGTAGTACTGACTTTTTCACTTGCTACTATAGAAAAATAGGAAAGTTTAGTGAATAATTTAGTGTAAAAATTCCAAATTTCTATTTTTTGCTATCATTCAAATATTCAAAGTGAAGAAATAATGAATCTGCTTTTGTTCAACATCTTCGTTTTCTCTTCAAGTATTTTCTCTTTCCTTAACACACCAAATATATTTCTAGCAAATCTGAAAATAAATTCTCTTTTCAAATAATATTTTAAATGTTGGAATGAAACAATTTATGCAAAACTTGAAAATTTTGGAAATGGAGAAATCAAGTGCTCAGATAGAAGTGATGGATTAAATTGTCATTCGCCCAATTATAATGGTGAAGATGCCAAAAAAAATTGTCTTATGTAGTTAATTTAGGTCAGATTGGTATGACTTACAACAAGCAAATGCTGTGAAAAAATAAGCTTAATTCAACAATTTCACAAGTCTTTGACAGTTTATACAGGTTATTTACCTTTGCAGACAGAATTATAATTTGAAAATAAGAGTATGTAGTCTTAACATGGTAAATGATACTTTCCCATAACAATACTATTTAAGAGTTGTTTGATGACATGGTGTAAGATTCTTCTACTAATCCAATATAAAATTATATTATTATAAAATTTCCTATTGAATAAATGCAGAATATTTTTACTATAACTTCATAATAAGATGGAGAATGACACTACTCTTTTCATAGCTGATTTGAATTTAAATTTTTACAAGCCATTTTTTATTTATGTGTCATTAGTTATAATTATTGGTATACCTTCAAATTGCCTTATTCTATGCTTTTATGATTTCAAGAAAAAATTTTCTCCTTATGACATACTAATAAAGACTATGGCAGTTATTGATATTCTAGTATGTGGAATATGTGCTCCCTGTGAAATTCTTCTTGAAATAGGTTTTATTAAAAATGTTCTCATATGTAAGATGACTGTCTTTCTCTATAATTCAATTTTAGTTACCTCCCCAATGAGTTTTCTAGTTGTTGCTGTTGAAAGATGGTTTTGTATTTGTAGGCCTCTTAAAATACTCGATCGAAAACACGTAAAAGTAGCATTTCTATCAATTGCATCATTTGGTATTGTATCCGGTACATTCAATTGTATCAAGTATACAATCAAACTTGGCAAAAGATTTGATGGCCATATATCAAATAGCTGTTATCCTGCAAGTGGAGTCATTGACAATATTCACAAATATGCAATTCAATGTACATATATAGTGGCTATAACTGTGAATTATTCAATGTATGGTCTAGTCTATAGGGCTATCATTTTAAGACGTCTCAGGTTAAAAAAGACTAAGGGAAATGGAAACAACTCAAAAGATTCCTTAAAGAAATATGGTCAAAAGTTGAAAACTGTAACTATGCTGTTTGGCATTACAACAATATATATATTCAGTTGGTTTCCACTTTTACTAGAAGCTTTTGGCATTATGCCAAAAAATATTATTTTGAATCAATTATATCTAATTAATAATTTTTCAAATTTTTTTATATATATCATATTCCAAGAAAAATTTCGAAAGAATATAGCGAAATACTTTTTTGGCAAATATCAAGCATCAATCACAGCAGAATGAACGTATCACTGTAAAAATGATGATTGAGTATCAGAGGCAAATTTTTGTGGAATTATTTAACTAGTAACAAGAAATCAAAATAAAGACACTAAGCAGTGTAGACTTTTTTTTGTTATTCTTCTTTTGAAATCACTGAATTCAGTTAAATAAAGTTATTGTTCTTATTAAGAGATAAATATCCATTTTTCAAATCATCTTCTTAATTTAAAACTTTTTCGATATTATAATCAGGGAAAATTAGATTGTCAATTGTAATTTTCCGTTCAATTTATCATTGCGGTATATCACCTGAAATACAATTTCGCTACAAATCACCTTGCTAGTACTTTCAATAGTCAGTTGACCATTGAAAATATTCAAATAATTTGCAACCTGCTCCGATTCACTTGAAATTGTGTATAAAGATCTAAATCTAGATCTAACCGAACTGAACCAGTGTACAAAATTTGAGCAAATTCGGCCAAACGATTCTGGAGCAATGGAGCTTTGAAGTTGATAGCTTTAATATGTTTTAAAACCGTTTGTTTGAAATGAAATGTACGTCCTTGAAGATCAGAATTTGGATATTCCTCTTTAAGTGACATACATATTTGTATAGTTTAGTATTGTGGAATTTGAAATTCTATTATTTTAGACTATATACACAGCTCAAATCAATACTTTTGGAAAGCCTTTAGCCTGGTGCTCTGCTTTAAACAATTTTAAATTCTTCTCTGTAAAATTTTTAACCATAATTTGGGCAGTTGAGATGATAGCTCAGATTATAAACTGTTCAGTAATATTTCACAAGTAACTAGAAGCGTCTCCTAGATATTTGTAAAACACATAACAACCGATGTGCTTTCCATATCGAAAGATATCGAAAGTCAATATATTTCTATTTTATCAACTTGCTAATTCAACTAGCACACTGTTTGCTTTATTTCCTTAAGATAAACACAAATAATAGAGAGGACAAATTATTGAATTCAGAAATACAGAAAAGAATTTAAAGTTAACGTTTTAGCAGAGCTTCGGTAATTTGCTTAAATTCTTGTTGACCAGCTTTAAAAAACTCTGATTTTTTAGCTGCATTCAGAAATTTAGAAATTCTTGGATATTTTGAATAATCGACTTTGATCAATTCCATCTGTTGTAGAACTGCTGCCAAATCCAAATCAGCCAACGTTGGCTTATCACCAAAAATAAAACTAGAATTCTGAAAGTAAATACGATCAAGGTCAGCCAATACTCCTTCGAACTTGCTTTTCTCTTCCTCTGTTGGTTGTCTCTGTCCAGCGAAAACTACTCCAAAATAGTCAAGAAGAGCTGGACCAACTGCAGATGCAGTATAGTAAAGGAATTGATCAACTTTGGCTCTCTTCTTCAATTCTTTAGGATAGAGATAATCATCCTTTGATTTTCCATGCTTGTTAAAGAGATAGGTGATGATTGCTCTTGATTCGGACAGTACGAAATCTCCATCAACAAGAGTAGGAACTTTAGAATGAGGATTTATCTAAAGAGAAAGATATAAACAGAATAAAGTGATTCATTAATATAAGAATTATAATATACAAACCTTGGCGTATTCCTCATTTTTTTGTTCTCCCTTTAAAAGGTTTACAACCTTCAAGTTCAGTTTTACGTCTAAAATTTTAGCTGTAAAAAGAACACTTCTGCTTAAAGGGCTTAGACTAAAGTAGTAAAATTCCATATTTTCTGGATTTTCTTTGTTTTTTCTCTTCTGATGCCGTCTATTCGGGTAAGTGTAGTTATAACAGACATTTTTATTCCTTTTATACTAGTAGAAGAGGTTGATAATGCGTGCTATGCAACAGCGCCTCCTATAGTAAATGTCCCACAATTGTTATGTTCATTTGAACTTTACTATAAAATAAGTCAATAATTGTAATGTCAACATTGTGGATAACTAAATTCAAGATGCAAGAACTGGTGCTGTAGGAACATATGGTTTATCTGGAAATTTAGGCCTTTCATATGTAATGAAAATGTATTTTGTATATAAGATAAGTGGTGAAAATATCATATAATTCATAAAAGAAACAATATAAATTAATTCTACATTTCAACTACAGATGGCATTAGTAAATTGTATTAAATACGATAGGAAATCACCAACTAACTTACAAGGAGCTATTAGTTAAAAAGTAATAATCTTTCGAGGTAAAATCATGCATAAAATATCTTGAATGTTAAAAATTTCTATAAGAGATATTATGTTTATCAACTTTTCATCATGTTAATTGAGGATATGCGCCTTTTTTCCATTTGTCTAGAGAGCAGCTATTAATAGGTTGACCTTGACATTGAATTGATTTTTTAATGCCAGATTCTACAGTTTCAGTGAAATGTTTACATAATTGGAATATGATTTAGATGTCATCTAAAATGTTTCTTTGCTATTTTTAAATACTTCTGAAGTTCTCTTGTCCTCAACACTGCAGTTATAAAGTTTAAACAAAAATGAAGAGAACGTGCACTGCAGTATTCTGCTTTACATTACAAATAAAATCACACACAATATTTTAGACATTTTTGTTCCTTTTTTCAAGTGAGTTGAAAAATGACTGGTAGATCGCCACCAGACTGATTATTGAGCGGCCTGGTGTACTAATAACTCCCGCCTAATTTCACTATAAACCTCACTTGAAGGGATGGGGATGCGAACGTACCCATGGCGGGTTGAAGCCTACCTTAATATATCTGAAATTGAGTGTAATATCTGTGTTTTTTATATTCCCTAACCCTAAATTGGAGCCCCCCTAACAATAAATTCATTCAAATATTCAAACTAACCCTTTCCTAAAATGTTTTCATGGTTGGAAATATTTACTAACAGGTACGTTCGCACCCGACCCCCACTTGAAGGTGATTAATATAGTCCAATTTCTTTTAAAATTTGTACAGGGCTAGATCTCAGGATTGGGGTTAGTACAACATCTAACACTGTATGGAAAACATTTAAGACCAATCACTTTGCTCTTAAATGCATCTCCTTTATTAATTCCATAGTAGCTCCATCTGTTTGGTCAAAGAATCTATTTTTTACAAGATAAATTTCTTTCTAAAGTTCTATCATTCTAATTCCTACAAAATAGATGTTATTCTAGAGTTCATTTCATAAAATTGACAAAACTCTAATCTGCTAAACATATGAAAATCACAAAGAAACTTAAATATTTGCTGTTTTTTCCAGTAGATCAAATGCAGTTATTTAATACCATATATCAACAATCTTTGATATTTTCTTCATGATAAAGCAGTCCATAATCCTAACTCAAAATTAGCAAAAAGCTTTTTTGGATTGGAATAATTTGTAAGTGTTTAAATTTCCTAAAGAATGTAACAAAATTTAGCTTTCTGTATGCTTTCTTCTACTTTGATGTCATGAAACTAAATCTAATCCATCTTTGCAAAATATTCTATTTTTCATCTTAACTAACTTCAATTTCAACAGATAATAGACATATATACTGTAAAAAATTGGTTATATACTGCAAAAGTAAGTTAAAAAATAGCTGTAAAGGTCAAGGTTATCACACCAAAATTAAGTAAAATTACAAATAATTAATTAAATGTATAAGAAAGAATGAGAAAAAGTTGAAGGAAGAAAATTAGAGCTGAAAGATTAAAGTAGCAGACAGTCTTCAATGTTATCAGTTTTTTTGATAACTGAAAATGTTCTTACATTGATATCATTATGTGATTTGTTATCTAGTTCTGAAGAAGGATGTTTATTGCAAGAGCAAGGCGCATTTTTGGTATTTGTATAATAATAAGTCTATTTGGATCCATAACCCAGATAAAGAAAAAACACTGTTCACTGGGAAAATTTTCTATTTGAATGATTTAGATAATGAAAGAGAATTACAGACAAACAAGGTATTTTAAATATAAAATTCAGAAACTAATTAACAAAACTTAAGAATAATTTTGCAAACAGACAGAGTAAATTTACTGATTTGGATTCAATGAAATTATGTATCTTGTGTATGCCAGAAAAATGATTTACTAATACAATAAGGTCATTAGTATCTTGTAAAATTTTATCTCAAGTCTTGAATAGAACTGCACTTATATATTCAAATATTCCAAACGAAAACTGCTCCATTAATACATTTTTTGACTCTATTGAAGTTGTTAAGAATTATGAATTGGAAACTCATAAATTTACTACTTGTAGACTTATTCATACTAATGTCACCATTATTCAAGATCTAGTGGCTAATACGGATAAAATAGTTGCTGTGAGAAGCCATAAATT